TGAAGTGGGTCTACTATTGTTTTTTTCAGCTGATCAATCTTTGGATTATCATTTGGGTTAGTGCATAATAAATGAATGCTCATCTCTGAAGAGATAACTGAAGAAATTAGTCTAAATATGTATGTGGGATTTGGGGAAACACTAATTTGGAAATTAATTTCCAGCTGATACTCTCCATTCATTCATTTAGTCATTCAACAAATAAGCATTAGGCTTCTACTGTGGGCCAGAAATCTGCTGGGTCCTGCAGAAATAATGAGGAAATGAATGCAGAGACTGCCTCCAGGCCGTCAGAATCTGGGGCAAACAAGATATGAAACATTTGAACATATGAAAGTGACAAGTGAGATTGTCTTCCATTTCCGTCTATTAAGACCTTGATTTTAAAGAGGATGTAGGGCCCAGCTGTGGGATATGCCTGAGAATGTCCCGGGAATGATTCTACAGTCCAGGCATGTAGCACGTGGACCAGAGAGACACGTAAGAAACAGTCTCAACAAACTACTTCTAGTCTTACTTAAAATTCTTTTTTTTCTCTATTTCTGAACTGCATCCAAAGGTCTAGTTTTCAACGTCCTTGCGCTCTGAAGTGTAGAGGTTAGAAAACAACTCAATTCCATCATCACTAAGTGTAAGGGCCCAGCTCTGATTGAAGAGGAAGAGGCAGTTTCTCCAACTGTGTGTGTGCAGAAGTTCCTCCTGGAACATTTGTGAAAATCGCCAATTTCCTGTCCCTGCATACTGATCGAAAAGGTCTGAATGAGGTCTAAGGATATGCAATTTTAGCAACCAAGACACATCTTTCTGAGGCAAAGGGCTCCCAGGAACACACTTTGAGAAACACTGGGATATATTTTATTTTATTTTATTGCTTGTAGCTTTATATTACCTCAGACATTGTTGTGGAATCAGAAGTAATTCAAAACTTCCACATGGGTCTGTGCTCTTGTATTACCATATCTAAACTTGGTGAAGGGAGCTTTCCTCCTCCTACTGAAAATTTCTGAAAATGCTCTCTAAAGCACAGCATCCAGATAATCTAATTGTGGTAGTGCTTAACCCCAGTGAATATTATAATCTCCTGTGCTGCTTTAAAAAACAGAAAGCCCAGGCTCCACCCCAGAGCAGAGTCAGATAGGAATCTCTGAGGTGTGACACAGCCAGCAGTATTTTTAAAGGTCTCCAGGTAAGTCCACCAAGAAGGTCAGCATGAGAAGCACCTGCTGTTCTGGATCTGAAACCTTACCTGCTTCATCTCCTACTGCTGAAAATACCCTTTCTATTTCTGCCCCCTCCTCTGCTCACCTACCCACTGCTCCTCCTGCCCTCTGGTGACTGCATTCTGTTTCCAAAGTCCTCAGTGCAGCTCATTTGCTCTGTGACTTTCTCTCATTTCCCTACTCTGACTGTCCATCCCTTGCACTTCTCCCGCCAGGCTGGGAGTGCCGTGAGCTCTCAGAGCCCGGGTGAGGCTGACACCCAGTAAAGGTTTGTAGGATACAAGTGAATCCATCAAAGTGCAATGCAGGGGTTTTAGATGTTATTTTACTTATTTTAAATGTGTCATTTTACGTCTTTACATGGGAATAGTAGGTATGAAAGAAACTGTGGCCAAGGCAATACTGTGAATAAATAGCAAGTCATTGCTTGCCAGTAAGTGCCTGTCAAATAGCTAGACTAAGAAACTTAATTCAAACTTGCAAACCCCTGAACTCCCAAGGTCAAATAAGATTAATCCTTGGTTTTCTCTTTGTATTGCAAGGCAGGGAGATGAGATGGGGAGCAGTAGCAGTGATGATGAAGTGTATGCATGCACACCTGTCTGTATATACATTTGTGGGTGTCTGCACTTGTGTATGTGCATGCCTAGCAAGCCAGGGTGTGTGTGTGTGTGTGTGTGTGTGTGTGTGTGTGTGTGTGTGTGTGTGTGTGTGTGTGTGTGTGTGTGTGTGTGTGTGTGTGTGTGTGTGTGTATCTAGGGATGTGAGTCTGTTACTTTCTGAATAAATGTGCTATTTTACTGGACAGATTCTCAAGTGTTTTCCCCAAATCGTCAATACGTTCCTCACTTCCAAGAAAGTAACAATCAGTGCAAAAAGAATCGAGGAACATTTTATTTATGTATTTGAGATGGGGTTTCACTCTGTCACCCAGGCTGGAATGCAGTGGCAGGATCATGGCTCACTTCAGCCTCGACCTCCTGGGTCCAAGTGATCCTCCTGCTTTAGCCTCCTAAGTAGCTGCCTCCACACGCACATGCCACCACACTCACCTAGGTTTTTCAATGTAATTTTTTTTTTAATTTTATTTTGTAGAAACAGAGTCTCCCTGTGTTGCCCAGGCTGGTCTTAAACTTCTGGGCTCTAGTCATCCTCCTGCCTCAACCTCCCAAAGTGGTTACAGGTATAAGCCACTGTGCCAGTCTGAAGAACATTTTAAATTTAGATTTTATCCACGTGTGTACATTTGATGAAACCCACTAGCAAGGAAAAAATGTACATGAGGCCTTACCTTGTTAGTTTGTTTAATTAGTATAAAAAGCCTTTTGAAAAGAATTTCCAGTTGGCATTATTACTACATTCAACTACCCCATTGAGAGTGTTTTCTTACAATGTGTGGAAATGGATTATCTGCCCTCATGCAATTAGTTATAAAACAACCTGCTTGTGTAATCAGGGGTCAGTATTCATGAATACAAAACATGCGTATTGCTTAGAGGGAGTCCCTTCCTGCAAATCACCTCTTTGGCAACAGTTAACTTTCGCAACTGAGAACACAGGAACACTCCCTCTAAAAAGTCTGTCTTCAGTGGAAACTTTATATGAAATGATTTTGTAGATAATAACTGACATTTTGTCCCACAAATTCTGATGAAACCTACAGCATGCAAGCATGGGAAACACACAGGAAACAAACTATGAGTTTCCATTAAAAAAAGTGAGTTTTTTGATTGATGGGAAGGGTTGACCTGTGGGAGAATTGGGACAAAGTTTCTGTGGCATGAGTCACATCAATCTGACTTCTAAATACAGATAAAGTCTCAGTAGAAATTTCTGCGCAGGAGGATAAATTGAAACTTTGCTGATCAGTACATATGACACAAAGGTGCTGTGTGTTCCTTTAAATATCCTTGGATCCATTTGGTCTTTCTCGCCCTAAACTTTGATTGGACCAAGAGCCTGGGGAGAAAGGAGGGCTGCTGAATTGGCCTCACTAGACTCTGAGCCATGTCAGAGTCAACAAACTTCAGTGTTTCTTTTAACTTTGGACATTGCCAAGATTATTCTGGTATTTTAAGGACCTGATAGGGCAGAGACTTGCAAATATCATTTTGCTTGTATGTGGTTGGGAATACTAAACAATTAATATATCTAATATTAAGCAAATAATTTTCTGTGGACATTTTTGGAGTTCTTCAACCACATAAGTAACCAATACAAAGTGGTGTGATGATGACAGAGTCTCAAACTGTCAAGTGTACCAGCATCATTGAGAGAGCTTGTTGACACATAGATTGCTGAGCCGCACCCCAGAGTCTCTGATTCTGTAGGTCTGGGGGGGGACCTGAGAATCTGCATTCCTAGCAAGGCCCCAGGAGAGGGTGATGCTGCTGGTCCAGGGATCATTTTTTTTTTTTTTTTGAGACCAACTCTCACACTGTTACCTGAGCTGCAGTGCTGTGGCACGATCTCAGCTCCCTGTAACCTCTGCCTCTCGGGCTCAAGCGATTCTCCTGCCTCAGTCTCCCGAGCAGCTGGGATTACAGGCACATGCCACCATGTCTGGCTAATTTTTTGTATTTTTAGTAGAGACGGGGTTTCACTATGTTGGCCAGGCTGGTCTTGAATTCCTGACCTCATGATCTGCCCGCCTCGGCCTCCCAAAGTTCTGGGATTAAAGGTGCGAGCCACCACGCCCGGCTGGGATCATATATTTAAAACCACTGGTGTGGCAGACACAGAGGACTACTGGACCTCAGAGGAGAGAGACTGCTTCCAGTTTGAAGGGAACAAGAGTTATATACGTGGCATCACTGCTGGGAGTTGAGCATGTGTTCCTTATAGATCACCCCACTGACTTCTGGGACAGTACATGGAAGGACAGTGGGATAGAGAGGGTAAGAAATATCAAGAGGAATTTGTTAGTAGAGGTTTCCCTCATGGATAGTAGGGAGAAAAAGACTGAAGATATAATGGCAATTCCCACTGATAAATGCAGTTTTTCTTTTCTTTCTAAAATCTGCATCAGGCACATTGTACCAAATCTCAAACCGAATTACATAGAACACAGTAAAGTTTGAAGGTGCTGGACAGATGACTAAAGAAGTGATCTCATTTAAATAACAACTCCAGTCACTGACAGGTCCTAGGTGAGAACTTGTCAGGGAGTGAAGGGCCAATCCTTGTAGGAAGAGACAGGGTGCATTGGTGGTAGGTGTGGGCCCTGACGGTGTGAGGCGACAGCAGAGGAGGACAAGGGCTCTGCGTGCATGTCAGTTTTCCCCTTGCCTCTCATAAACTCTCAAATACCCACCATCTTTGCCATGATTTCTTCATTGTCATCACATAATATTTATCCAGTTTACTCATGCGTATAGCCCTGTCTTCTTTCATTCTGCTCCAATTTTCTTCCTCACTTCTCTTTCTCTTCTTGTCTTGTTCTGAATCTACTGATGTTTTCCCTCTGGCTGCCAACTGTGAACATAATCCCCACCCACTCTATCAAGGATTTGCTTTTTCAGAAATGGTATCCAAATTGGAGATGCAGCAGGCCCTGATGTGGTTTTTCTCATTCATTGGAAGGGATCCTACTTATTGAACAGAAAAAATTTATCAAATAGCGTACTGTGGCCCAAGAGTATGAAACAATAACCAAAATAACTATACAGATGCCTGCATAAGGAATTAGGGAGGGAAGGAGGCAGACACACACACACACACACACACACACACACACACACACACACACAAAGACACACACACACACATACACACACATACCCTTCCTTTTCAATGGCTACATGTTCACTACATTTCTTCAGAGGAGAAAATGCTGATGTAAATGTGAGAAATGCCTTAATCTACTTCATTAAGCCAGTTATGTCATTGAATATCCTTTAGTTTGGGCTTCTTTGGAGACTGGTAACATGCATACATATTGAGATCAGATTAAAGGAATCATAACTAGTCCAGCCTGGGATTAGAAGCCTCTCTTTCCCCCTTACCTCATCAAGACATCGCTCATATTGTTCCCTTTGATTTTCATTCTCCAAAGCCAGTGCTGAATTCTCTGCCTGCGGTAAGATACAAAAATAACACAAATAAATCAATGAAATGTTGTGTTAGGTGACAACTTATTCAATACAGTTACTAAATATATCTCCTCAGGATCCAAGACAATCTTTTAGAAGTACCTTTGACAAATTCACTCTAAGTACTATTATAAATATCTCAGGGATGACTTCTGTCTTACCAACTTGCTCACTAAAATACACGACAACTTAAAGAAATGCAAAACTTGATATTCCAAACAGGTAGAAAATCAAATTGTGGCTTGATGTGAGAATGTTCCGTAAAAAGATTAGAATGTTTATTTCATTCTATGAAAATGTAAATGTGAGAAATGCCTTAATCCACTTCATTAAGACCTGTCACAGACTCACAGCCTAATATTTGTTTAGGCCACAGAAAAGAGTCTCACACAGAGTCATGGAAGCATAATTCCAAATGCAAACTAAATATGTTATTTTCATTGTTAGTCAATGACTTGTGGACATAAGATAATGAGAAATGTAAGACTTGAACTATACTTAAGCATCCCCTTCCCCATACTCTTGTAAAATTACCGCTTTCTCACTCCTTAGAGTCATGTGGGTATGTGAAGGTTGAATATAGTTACTATGTTACCATGTGGAATAGTAAGGGAAAAGAAAAGTATTCATTTAGTGTAAGCTTATTAGGTTTTAGAAGGAGCATGAAATGATGGTATCAGAACTGCCCTCCATGTTGGGTGACCTGGTTCCACTGCAGCCACTGTGGGTTCCTGACTGAATCTTCAACTGTGCCAGTGAACCCTTGCCAGGGCTGTGACAATGACCACCCACTCTTAGCCCACAAGCAATCTTGACTCTACCTTCCCCTTCTCTTAAACCCTCCTTGACATTTAGAAGTAGCGTTATGGTGATTCAAATCAGCATTTTGAAAATTACAGTACGATTTTTAGGTGGCACAAAGTTCAACATTTTAACTTCATCATTTTATTCCATCTGTTTTTCTAAACTTCTTATTTGGAAATAATTTTAAATTTATATCAATGGATGAATGCATTATGGTTTGCATATACAATGAAATACTATTTGGCCATAAAAAGGAATGAAATAATGTCATTTGCAGCAACATGGGTGGAGTGGAATCATGTTAAGTGAAATAACACACGCACACAAAGACAAATTTTGCATGTTCTCACTCATATGTGGGGGCTAAAAATATGGATGTCATAAAGGTAGACAGTAAAATGATAGACACTAGAAGCTGGGATGGGGGTTAAGTGGGAGAGGGGATGAAAAGAGCTTAGTCAGTGGTTACAGATAAGATATACAGTTAGCTAAAATATGTAGTTAAGAAAAAGGAATAAGTTCTATGTTTTGAACAGCAGAGTAGGGTGGCTGTGGTTAACAACAATGTATTAAATATTTCAAAGAAGCTAGAAGAAGCAACATGAACTGTTACTAACACAAAGGAATGATAGGCTGGACATGGTGGCTCACTTCTGTCATCCTAGCCCTTTGGGGGCAGAGGCAGGTGGATCACTAGAGGTCAGGAGTTCGAGACCAGCCTGGCCAACATGGCGAAACCCCATCTCTACTAAAAATACAAAATAAGCTGGGCATGATGGTGCACACTTGTAATCCCAGCTACTTGGGAGGCTGAGGTAAGAGAATCACTTGAATCCAGGAGGCAGAGGATGCAGTTAGCATAGATTATGCCACTGCACTCCAGGCAGGAAGATAAAGTGAATGAGACTCCGTCTCGGGAAAAAAAGAAAGAGAGAGAGAGAGAGAAGAAATGATATTCAGGCTGATGGATGTCTCAAATACCCTGACATGATTGTAAGGCTGGCTGCCTCACAGAGGGTTAAACGGACACATCCATCTCTCTCCACGCCTGATAACTACGTCATCACCCAAGCTCGTTACCTGGCCTCGCAGCATAGCTACCCCGCACCCGCCTACGCATACCAGACCCAAGCCCATATTCAGCGCTAAATTATGCATTTAACCCCCAGCCCGCTGTTGAAAAACCCTTCAGAAATTTTTTTTTTTTTTTTTTTTTTTTTGAGACAGAGTTTCGCTCTTGTCACCCAGGCTGGAGTGCAATGGCGCGATCTCGGCTCACCGCAACCTCCGCCTCCTGGGTTCAGGCAATTCTCCTGCCTCAGCCTCCTGAGCAGCTGGGATTACAGGCACGCGCCACCATGCCCAGCTGAATTTTTGTATTTTTAGTAGAGACGGGGTTTCACCATGTTGACCAGGATGGTCTCGATCTCTTGACCTCGTGATCCACCCGCCTCCGCCTCTCAAAGTGTTGGGATTACAGGTGTGAGCCACCGCTACCGGCCAGAAAAATTTTTTTAAAGAAGCCCCATCAGACCCTGCCCGGTAGCAGTCTGTTTTGTATGCCCCCGGAAGGCCTACTCACCCAAAGTCCCACCTGCCTACCCATAATAACTAGCTCCAGGTATTTCCTGCTTCTTAATAGCCAATAAGATTGCCTTCACTTTGTTTCCCCAACCACCAATCAAGGCCAACTCACCCAAAGTCCCACCCGCCTACCAATGGCAACTAGTTCCAGGTATTTCCTGCTTCCTGACAGCCAATAGAATTGCCTTTGCTTTGTTTCCCCAATAGCCAATCAATCGCCTTCCCTCCCCCATAAAACCCCATGACCTAAACAGTCGGGCGCGACTTCTTTGGCCCCTCCCTGGACCACAGAACCTCACCCGGGAGCTGAATAAATTAGCTTCTCATTTTCTTATACTTGCCTCAGTTTCCTCATTTTACCTTGGCAATAAATCTTACAACGATCATTGTACATTCTATACTTGAAACAAAATATCACGTGTCCCATAAATATGTAAAATATTATGTATCAAAAAGCAAAAATGTATAAAGAACTCCCACAAAATCTTTCCTAAGATTCACAGATTGTTAACGTTTCACCACATCTGCTATATCAATTCCTTTCCCTTTCTTTTCTGTACCTGGAAAGTAAGCTACAGACATAGTGTCCTTTATCCTTAAATACTTCCATGTGTATTTCCTAATAACAAAGGCATTATCTTGTACAATCAGAGTATAGTTGTTAATTTCAAGAAATACCATAGGAAATATAAATTAATACAGTACCATAATCTGATCTACAGTTCTTCCAGTTTTACCAGTTGTCCCAATAATGTCCTTGATAGCATTTTTTACAATATACAATCCTATCTGTGATCATGCTCTGCATTCGATTGTCGTTGCCGTTCATCACGCACCCTTTAATTTGGAATAGTTCCAGATTTATGAGATGGAATCTCACTCTTGTTGCCCAGCTGGAGTGCAATGGCATGATCTCGGCTCACTGTGACCTCCGCCTCCCTGGTTCAAGCGATTCTCCTGCCTCAGTCTCCTGAGTAGCTAGGATCACAGGCGACTGCCACCATGCCCCACTCAGTTTTGTATTTTCAGTAGAAATGGAGTTTCACCATGTTGGCCAGGCTGGTCTCAAACCCCAGACCTCAGGCCATCTGACCACCTTGGCCTCCCAAAGTGCTAGGATTACAGGTGTGAGCCACTGTGCCCAGCCTGGAATAGTTTGTTTTTTTAATGTTTTTTATTTTCTTCTTTCCTTCTTTTTTCTCTTATTTCTTCTTCTTCGTTGCCTTTCTTTCTTCCTTTTTTTCCCCCCTTTCTGAGTAGAGGCCAGTTATGTTGTTGAATATCCCTTAGTTTGGGCTTCTCTGGGGCTCCCTCATACATAGTTGGCGGAAACAGTGCACAGGTGATGCTGGGCCCTTCTCAGTGCATACAGCAGCTGCATGACATCCATGGGACCCGCTGCTGGACATGCTAACTTTCATCACTTGGTTAATGTAGTGTCTGCCAAATCTCCCCACTGTGAAGTTACTGGCTTTCCATTAGTGATTAATAAGTAATTTTGGGGGAGAAACTTTGAGGCTATAAAAATATCCTATCGCTCATCAAACTTTCACCTACCTATTTGAGCAACCATCAATGATTTTCAACCAAATCATTGATTAACTTGGTTGCAAATGGTGACTTCTGACTCCATGTTTCTATCTAAGTTTATGAGTTGATATTCTCTTCCATAAGTTAGTGCTTCCCCTACCTCCTATTTATTAATGTGCAAACGTCGATTCTGATATTACTCAAAGGGTTATACGTCATTACTACTATTATTAATTTTGATGTTCAAATCACTCCAGCTTTGGGCAGGCGAGATCCTGTAAGCTGGTGGCTGCATCCTTTTGACATGTACCCATACTTTCTTTTTCTGCAAAAGGAGGTGTTCCAGGGCCATCTTGCTTTTTCCTTGCTTCATCCCTGAAATCAGGCATTTCTCCAAGGAATTCTATTTCCTTTTAGTTGGGGAATGATATTTGGAAACTAAAATCTGGGTGTTAACCTGTATCAGTTGCTACTAAGGAGTCACTGCTTCCAGTCCCTTTCAGTGGAAGGATTTCTCCCCACTCCCACATGTACAGGCTCACTGCCCCACCTCACCACAAGCCCCACAACATTCTTTCTTGCCTTCTTCTTTTCTTATTAGCATCTTCCTTTTTGTACTGTTAGAACTCAGGATCTCAGCAATATTTTAACTCCTTTGTTCAATCTTACCATGTGTACAAAACTGGTACCTACCTAAACCAGTGCTAGGAAAAGTTCAGATTTCTGTGTTTCTTTAGAAGAAAAGTAATCAGTGAAAATACTGTGTCCTGAAGTTACTAAGTTGGCTCTTCCCCTACCTCCCTTTTAATGGGGTTATATGATTCATTTGAAATTCAGTTCAGTTCATTTGTTGCTGATAGTATTCAAATTTAATTTCCTCTCTTCTTAATTACATTTTGTTTTTTAGAATACATAAAACATTAACCGGATTCCAAAAGTTAAAACTATATTAAAGGGTATGTATTGAGTGTAGTGTTCCTCCCTCTCCTGCCCTGTTCCTGTCTACCTCTTGAAGATTCTTTCATAGTGTCATTACCCCTTTTTTGTCTTCCTTTGTTACTATT